TTGATAGACTCTGGTGCTACAAAACACATTTTTATAAATAAAAATGATTTTGTGTCATGCACCGAAGTTGAGAAAGGAGAAGAAATTGTTTATTTGATGACTTACGGACAACTAAAGTTTTTGGAAAAGGAAAAGTTCTTCTCAAATTCACATCTAGTGGAATTTTAACATTGAGTGATGTATTTCATCTTCTTAATATTCAAATTACTCTATCTGAATTCTGTGGGATTATTAGAAAAATATGGAATGAAGACTTTTTGAAGATAATAAAGTCATATTGACTAAACTTAATTATTTTGCAGGCAATGAATTTTATAACTATGATATTTAATATTTGTGGTGATTACATTAAAGTTGTATTTGTTTTTGCCTAATTCATTATGGCATGCTAGATTAAGTCATGTTAATGTCTCATATATAAAGAATATATGATCTCTTGGTTTAGTACATAATTTAGAATTAAATAATTTTGATAAATGTGAAATATGTGTTAAAGCTAAAATTACTAAAAAGTCATGTTTTTTCAGTAAATAGAGAAACTAAATTATTATCTTTGATCCACCTTGATTTGAGCGATTTGAAATAGAATATGACTACGGGTGGTAAAAGATATTATGTGACTTTTATTAATGATTCTTTCAGATTTATTAAGTTATATTTGCTTAGAAATAAAGATGATTCATTTAATTCTTTTACTGCTTATAAGTCTGAGGTTGAAAATAAACTTCGTAAAAAAATCAAAAGAATTCAATTTGATAGAGGTGGAGAATCTGTATCTTTAAATGCTTTATGTGGAAAAAAAAAAGAAGAAATTATTCATTAAGTAGCTGAAAGGAAAAATAGAACTTTAAAAGAAATGATGAATTTCATGTTAATTAATTCTAATGCTCCTGATAATTTATGGGGTGAAGCTATATTATCTGCATGTCACATACAAAATAGAATTCCTCATTATATAACTGCTAAAAACTCCTCATGAATTGTGGAAAGGTTATAGACCTAATTTGAAATATCTAAAGTGTTAGGGTGTCTTGCTAAAGTTCTTTTGCGTGAACCTAAAGAGAGAAAAATTGATTCTAAAACTGTTGATTGAATGCTTATTGGATATGTTGAACATAGTGTTGCATACAAATTTGTTGTATTCAAAAATGATGTGCTTGATTGCAATACTATTATTGAGACAAAGAATGCTAATTAAGTTTTTTAAACATATTTGTTCATTGTGCGATAAAATTTCTCATGCACCTATTGAAAGAAATGGTAGGAATGTCTCTAATATGGAGGAACTGCGAAGGAGCAAAATTCCAAAAAAAGAATATTTTTCTTATGCAAACAATTTTGAAACCTTGTTGACAATGAACCATTAAATTATTTCAAAGCTATGTGTTCTTCTGATGCTAAATTTTGGAAAGAATCAATAAAAATTGAAATTGATTCAATTATGAAAAATAAAACATAAATGTTAACTGGCTTACCTCCTGGTGCAGAAACTATCGGTTGTAAATGAATTTTCAAAAAGAAACTTAATTTTGATGGATCTATAGATAAATATAAAGCTCGGTTAGAAGCAAAAGAGTTTTCTCAAAAACAAAATATTGTTATTTTGATACATTTATACCAATGACTAGAAGTTCCTCTATTCGACACAAGTTTTCTATTCACCAAATGAATTTAAAAATAGCTTTCTTAAATGGTGACCTGGAAGAAGAGATTTATATGATTCAACCTGAGGGATATATAATTTCTGGACAAGAAAATAAAATTTGTAAGTTAAATAAAATCTCTTTATGGTCTAAAACAAGCTCCTAAGAATGAGATGAAAAATTAGATCAAGTCTTATTGAAAGACAAATGATTATGTTGAAGTGGATAAATGTTTTTATACCAAATTTGCAGAGAATGATTATGTGATAATATATTTATATGTTGATGACAAGTTTAAATATTGTAAATAGTACCAAATATTTTTTTCTAGCTACTAAATTTGATACAAAAGATTTGGGTGAAGTAAATATGATTTTGGGATTAAGATAATAAGGAGTGAAGATGGTATAATGTTGTCACAAGAACATTATGTGGAAAGACTTCTTAAAAAGTTTAAATATTTTGTGGTGACACATGTAGCCACTCTTTATGATGCTAATTCTATATAGAAAAAGAATTATGGTGACTCAGTTGCTTAATTAGTCTAAATATGCTCAACTATTGAAAGTCTATTGAATTTGATGAATTTTACTAGGTCTGATATTGCCTGCGTTGTGTGTAGATCTAGTAGATATAATTTGTCCCATTTTATATCACTTTTTTACTTTATACTTGCATTAAGAAATGATCTAACTTTACATTTATACTCTCATTTAATGTTTTCTTAAGTCAACTTTATTAATAATTGACAAAAATAATTAACTATTTCTATCAGGTATATGGTAGGAAAAATATAGTGTTTTATGCATAAATGTTGTAACATTACAAGTGTTGTGGTCCAACTATTTATAAAAAGGAAGTCATATAAAATGGGACGGAGGAAGTATTATTTAAGGTAAGTATAGGATAAAAAGGAAAGGGATTGGCTTTGTTTTTTTGGTAGTTAGCATAATGGAACATTTATTATTTTTAGGGAAAATATATATTTTTTAAAACCCTGAACTGGAATCGATAACTTACTTTAGTACTTAACATTTTTGAAGTAATTAAAACACCCACTAAGGGATTATGTGACAGAGAGAGTTAGTGCACTCTTTTGAAAGTGTGTGAAAACACAAGGAAGAAAAAGGTCAATTTTTAAAACCCTACACATGGCCTTTTTTATTGGTCTATATACAATAAATTATTTAAATAATTTTTTTATATATATTAAATCTTTAAAATATGTAAATTTCTTAATAAGAGGTAAATGAAATTAATGGGGCCCTTTTAAATCTATTTAATTTTTTTCTTTTCATTTTGTTGTCTTCTTCGATATACATTTTTCTCCATTGAAACATCTCCTCCTCCATCTTCATCCCACCTTTATCCACTATTTTTATTTCACTAGTCTTTTACTAAGTCATAAAATTCAATATCAATGTCAATTTATTGACGTCGATTTCACTCTATATTATTGGTGTCCATTTGAAAAATGTTAACTTTCTTAAATTTCTGCATTTTGATTTCTAGATCCATTCAAACATTTCTCATAAAATTTATTTTTTTTTTATCAACTTTCTTATGCAATCTTCATTTTTTACTTGAGTTGTCAAGAAAATATTGGCTTTCAAAAAAATTCATTCTCCAAGTGGGTAAATTTGTTGAAAGGGTTCAAAAAAAATATTGTGAATATTATAGTGAATTTTCTTCGTTAAAGTGACTTACAAAATTGTTGAATAGTAAAGAAGAAGAAGAAAAGAAAGTATTTAATGTTGGAATAATGGTGAACAACAAGGAAGAAGAAAGAGAGGGGCGGGGATATACATTTATAAATTAATCAATTCATATAGTTAATTTTCAAAAGTGTTTTAAGAAAAAATAGTGAATAAGTTAAAAAGAAATAAAAATTAATGACATGGTGCTTACATGGTTATGATCTGACGCTTATGTAGCTATGATTGTGACGAGTGAAAGTGATTTCATAGTCTCATGGTGGAAAAAATAACTTTGAAGGTGTTAAGGGATACTTAAACACCCGTATAGTTTAAATACTAAAGTAAGTTATTTTTGCATCTATTAAAAAAATTAAAAAATGGGAGGTGAATTTGGTAAGCTAATTAGTAATTAAAGTATAATTATGTTTGGTAAGTGACAAAGTAGCTAAATCATTCTTGGTAGGTTATAAAACAGTCAAAATATTTTGGGTAAATTAACAACGAAACTATTTTTTTAAAAAAAAGACTCAACTCAACTATGTGATAGCTTTTTCACGTGTGTTGCATGTTTTTCATGGAAATAGTATATGAAGTATGAATTATATTAAAATTAAAATGTATTGAGTAATACCAAATTCAATGTGGAAAAAAATACAATCTAAAATTAATGTCCAATTAATTTGTTGATCCACAAGTTGATTAGCTATTCTCTAATTCTTAAAATGTGAACAATTAAAACCTTCTTATAACTAAAAATCGAACCGAAATACCGAAAAATACAAAAACATATACTGAATATCGAACTGAAAACCGAAAAACTGAAACCGAAATACCAAAAAATTCGATTCGATACGATATTTCGATTTTCCAGTGTTTATGCCCAGCCCTAGAGAAAATCCAACTTCACCAATTCAAGAAAGCTCATGAGAAGGCAAAAGTCTAGCAAGAAGGAAGAACATGAAAAATATATATTTGGTCAACCTAAGTTGGTCAATGGACCTTGCAATCACAAGCCATCACAAGAAGGACAACATGGTCAAGCCCCCAAAAAACTCTTATCGATAGCGAGTTATAAGGACTCTCTAACTATAAATAAATAAGAATAAGACAGAGACAGATACGGACAATATTTTTTGGAGTTGGAGTTACTATATTTTGAAAATTTTGAACTTCAAAGGAGGTTTGAACCAAGAAGGAAAAAATAAACTCTACTAACTGAGGTATGTGGTTTATGATAATGTGATTGAAGAAATTATAATTCATTTATGTTAGCCCTAATTCTGAACTCTACATTTTCCTAGAATTTACAATTCTCTCCTAAATCTATCGAAGTGATAAAGGTTATATAATTAAACTTCTAAAAAATATCCACTACTCGTAAACTCATTTATTGCGTACAAATGTATACGATTATGTATATACGAATTTCTGAATTTGATACCTACACTAAATAATAAGTGTTATAGTCAAATAAAAGATCAGGTGATGTGCTCCAAATTCACGAAAAAAACATGATATATACATTTACATAGACTAACTAAAATAATAATAGCTAATCGTGACATTGTAAGATATTAAGTAGTTACTATCCACTCAAATTATGAGAAGTTAATTTTTTATATCATCAAAATCATAATATATGTTGTGAAGTGTATATATAAATAGATATAAAGTAATGTTTTTGTAGTTACAAGAACAAGAAAACCCTGTGGGTGATGAAAACTCCTAATCATATTTGCATTCTTCATGTGAATCATCATAAAACTACCTGAAATCAGAAGGAAAGGAAAAAGTAACGGATAAAAATGTTATAAAAAATAAGATCTTTCTTGTCTAAAAGCGCGACATTTTTGATATTTTTATTCGGGTATAAAATAGCTCATTTGAAACACACTAGTATTAATGAAACTTATAACCGTAATTATTTGGTTAACTGTTGATGAAAGGATTGTCCGGTGCATTAAGCACTAAGCTCTAAGGATTGTCAAGGGTCTATTGTACTTTATCTTGTTGAGTATGTCTCACGATATTGCAAAAATAAATAAATTAGTTATTTTTAAGATTTTTAAATCATTTTATTAGAGTGCTATGTGACTAGAAATTAGTAGTTAGTTCTATTATTTGTTATTTAAATTGTATTGATAAGTTAGTAGCATATTTTTTTTAGTTAGGAATTATATCTATAAATGTATGTTTCTGAACTATTAATAAAATGATTCCCTTTGATAATACTGCAGTAATTTTTTAATCAAAATCTTTCTCTATTATTTTTCTTAATTTCTTTATTTAAAAACCAACAATTGGTATCTAAAGCCTTCTTCTTGAGGGATTTGTGAGAAGAAAAAAGGATTCTGAAAATAGTTTTTCACGAATGACTCCTATTTTTTATGGTGAGAATTATCAGCTACGGGTTCTGAGAATGAAAACTTACTTGGAGGTTCTTGATCTTTGTGAAGCCGTGGAAGATGATTAGAAATCAATTCCCTGTCAAATAATTCAACCGTTGCCCAAATCAAGAGCCACAATGACAAGAAAACCATTAAGTCGAAGGCAAAGCAACTTTGATTGTTGTTGTTTCGAATAGTGTTTTACAAAAATCAAGACTCTCACATCACCAAGAGATATTTGAAATTATCTGAAGAATGAATATATTGGAGATAAAAGAATATGAGAAATGAAGGTATTAAATTTGATGAGGAAATTTATTTGACAGATTGTTTGGTATTGTCAACAAGGTAAGATTACTACGCACTGAATTTAATGATACAAGAATTGTTGAAAAGTTCTTGTTATAGTGCCTGAAAGATATGAAGCATGTATAAGTACCTTGGAAAACACACAATATCTGTCCAAAATTACCTTGGCAGAATTACTAAATTCTTTGCAGGCTTAGGAACAAAGGAGACTTATGAGGCAAGATGGCATTGTTGAAGAGATTAAGTAGCTAACCACAAAACTCAAAGCAGGGTTAAATTTTTAAAAAGTTACCCACCTTGTTAGCAATGTGAAAATAATAGATATCCTCCATATAAATGTTTGAAAAGACCATATGCACTGTGCAAGAACTACAAAAACTTGATCATGGAGCTGTGATTTGCATAAGTAAATTTCAAAAGAATGAAACACTTGCCCATGTCATTATTGAAGAACAAGAAGACTACTTATTTGTGGAAATTTATTTTTCAACCAAAAAATTTGATTTTTTGATGATTGATAGTGATTATACAAATTACATGACATATGAAATAAATATTTTTAAAAAGTTCAATCCTATGGAAAATAAAAGTAACTTGAATGAAAAGGATATTAAACCTAGTGAGAAAATTCAACTTCACGATTCAAAGAAGGCTCATAAGAAGGCAAAAGTCCACGCAATAGAGAAAAACAAGGAAAACTATATATTTGGTCAATCAAAATGATATCATGAAGAACTCACGTAAGTGGGTAAATGGACCTTGCAATGACAAGTCCATTACAAGAATGCAAACATGACCAAGCCCCAAGGACTTTTATCGATAACGAGTTATAAGGACTCTCTAATTAAGGGAAAAAATAAATTTAGCCCCGAACTTTGCTAAATGTTACATCCATGCCCTCAGTTATATTTTGGGTCTATCTCAGCCCCTACCATCTAATTATCGGTATACACAATTAATCAGCCTCTCTTTCAACAACATAAATAGATTTGTAAGAATATTTTCAAACCTGTGCAAAATTATAGTAAATAACTTTCCAAAAACATCCACAAAAATATGAGGCACTTGGTTCAATTCACTTGGCTGGAGAAGAAGCTCGTTGTTGATGGCGAACTCAAGTAAAATGAAACCCCAATTTAAAGCTTGAAGCTTTATCCGTCAACGGTGATAGTATTTTTAACCTGTTTCAACAATAATTAATCAATTTAAGTTCAAATTTTATTATTTGATTGCAAACTCACGTTTCTTGAAGCTTTGTCCATCAATGGTGGTAGTATTTCCAACCCCTTTCAACAAGAACAAAATGGATCTCTTGTTTTTCAATGAAAGCACATGTAGTGAAGAACAATTTTGTCTTTTTGCTTGATTTAGAAGGTTTTGGGTAATGTTTTAATAGAGGAGGTCTCTTTGATTTTTATTTTTATTTTAAATGTCATGATGTTTTAATTTCGGTCATGGGTCGGTAAATTATGAAAAAAAGGGTGGATCTTTTAATTTTAGGTAAATAAACAAAGAAAATCAAGTAAATGGTTGAGATGAAGTCAACATGTTCGTCTGTTTATTTTGAGGGTATACCTAAAAGTGTAACGGTAAGGGTATATACAACGACATACCATTTCTTATAGTTCGGGAGTATATTTTAATTTTTTTCCTCTCTAACTATAAATAAATAAAAATAAGACAGAGACAAATACACACAATTTTTTTTGGAGTTACTACAATATGAAAATTTTAAACTTTAAAGGAGGTTTTAACCACTGATTGAGGTATGTGGTTTATGATAATCTAAACTAATTACAATTCATTCATGTTAGCCCTAATTTTGAACTTCACATTGTCCTAGAATTCACAATTTTCTCTTTTATATATATATATATATATATATATATATATATATACACCCTAGTCTCGCCTATGTGGCCCACCACAAACAAGAATTTCTTTTTAATTTATTTATTTTCAATACTAGCCTTCTCCTTTTAATGAAAAAATGTGATTTTAATGAAAATTGTGACTTTAATGGACAGTTGCGACTTTTATGAAAAATTGGTAACTTCTATTAAAGGTTGTGACCTTTCAGAGGGGTTGCATCTTTTCCAAATAGTTGTGACATTTTCGATAAGGCATAATAAACATTTGTTCATACTACCATTTGATGTCTATAAATAGAGGGATTTCAGGGTCGGCTCTATGCATACTTTAATAAGGCATTGGCCTTAAGTCCCCAATTTTAGGGGGCCTCAATTTTTTACCAAGAATAAATTATGTGTTAATTTTTTTTCGAAAAAAAACATTGATTATTTATGATAAAAAGTATATATTTAAAATTAGTATGTTATTCGCTTCAACCCCATTCAAATAGAAGAAATCAAGAAAATATCGTTTTATTTTCTTACACTCTCTCCACTAATACTCACATTATTTTATTCTTTCGAACTCCTTTTACACTATCTTATTAAAATTGTTGATCAGTTAGAGTAAAATTGTCACGATTCGAGTCTACACCCTGGACGTGGCCGACATCGAAAACCATTGTTGGTCCCCAAGCGAACCCTCATCCTGGCTGACAACAAGCGAAAGACTAACTTAAGCATACCAAAGCTTAAAACTGAAATAAAGTTCAATAAACTCAAATGAACTTTGAATAAAATAATATATTCAACTAAATAGGCAATTTTAGTCTTTAAAACATTTAATAAAATAAATTATTAATACAGACTCCTCAACTATATTGACTATCTATGAAACCTCTAACTGATAAAGATGAAAATCGGTACAAGACCCACGACATCCTGACTAAATTGAAAAGTAAATGAAATCCTCCAGAAGCAAGGATGCTCACCATAGCTAACTCGAACTCTGTAATGTATCAACGAAGCTCATGTTGTTGATCCTGAATACTTGTGTCTGCATCATCAAAAGATGCACACCAAATGGCCAGTACTTGAAATGTACGAGCATGTAAGGGGAATTCTAAAGTATAGCATAAGCTTGAAGCTTGAATAAAAAGGAAACATACTTACCTCTTTTCAGACTCACTCAAGTTAACTCAACTTAAGAATAAGATACTCAACTCAAGGATTAGATACTAAACTTCAAAGATATTATGCTCGACTCAATTAAGCATAGATTAAATCAAGATACTCAACTTAAGGTACTCAACTCGAAATACTCAACTTCTAATACTTAACTGAACTCATTCCAATATAAAGAAATTTAAAACAAGTGCAATATAAAGAAAAGTTATTTAAAATCATGTTGTCAACTTTGTGTGTATAACAAGGATACAACATAACTCTGAAATGTATATAAAAATGCAATAACTGATGTATATAAAAAAAATACTTTAATTAACTTCTCTGGAGCTTCTCTAATCGACAATCATCACTTAAGAGGTATAGTGATGATACAGCGTTACTCGGACCATGCTGCCCGACCATCCTAACCTTGCCAGAGTATAGGACCTGAATTGCCTAATGGATCCACTAGTAAACTGTGAAAAGAATTCATCTAAAAAGGTATGACCCTTTTCTACCCATGATGGCTACATTTTTTCATGGAGACTTGAGTTAATCTGAAATTTCGCATCCCCACATCGATGCTCAATACTACTCCCAAAAATATACTGCCTCTTATATTTTAAAACATAATGATTCTATGGTTTGAGATTAGTGCTCAAAACTTAGCTTTAAAGGTTCTCTCCGGAATCATAGTTACCCTATTTGATTCATTTTATAAAGCTAATACTTCTTTCTGAAAACTAGCCCTAAGGATTTTTACTTGTTTAAATGTGAAAACATATGTAACTCTTAGGGATTACTTAGTCCCCTTATAACTTTTGAGATTGAACTCAATTATTTACTCTTGCTTAACTTGCAAGTTGAGTCTTAAAACAAAGTTAAAATGGTTTGTTAAAGACTCTTGAAAACTTTAAGAACTCACTTTGACTTGCTTCTTAACTTTTAGACATAACTTTTAACTTCTTTGACTTTGATCTTAACTTTCCTTGAATTGAATTATGGATTCAAGGATCATGACCTCATATTTATGGATGATTTCATGATTTTCAACTTGGAGGGTTTATGTGGAACTATGAGCATGAACTACTCAACTCGAGAACTCAAAGGTACCGCTCATCTCAAGATTGTTCGACACATAAGGTTCATGCGAAATTATGGGCATGAACAATTCAACTTAAGGACTACATAACTACATGGAATTCATGTATAAGACTCCTCTCATTATCTTGTTTACTTCCTCAAAACTTAGTTCGATGAGTGATGGATCTCAAAGAATTCACAATTGAACTTGAAGACTTTCTTTCTTGAACTCTATTCTTAACTCTCTCTTGAAGAGTTATGGTTCGTGGTATGAATGATCTATGTGACATTGTAGACTCATGAATACATTCTCCTCACTCTCATTATCACTTACTTGAGTCTTGAAACAAGTTCCTAGAAGTTGTAGAAGACTCCTCAAAAGGATCAAAGGGACTCTCTAAAAAGGTCCGAAAGAACTCTCAAAACTTAATCTTAACTGTACATTGAATTTGAATTATTATTCCAAGGTTATTAGTCATGTTATGAATGATTTCCAAGTGTTTAGAAGTAGTTTAAAGTGTTTAGAATCAAAAGGGGTGAAGATACACTTTAAATGAGCTCAAACGAAACAACCGAGGGCAAACTGGAGGAAGTAGGTTACCCTGGGGCTATGGGTGGCACAGTGCGCCAGCCCCTGTAGGACAAAGAAGGATTTAGGGCGCTCCGGCAAGCGCGCCGCGCCAGGGCCCAACCCAGAAAATTCTGCCAAACACTTTTGTTTGTTTTCTCTCCCTAAATCGCCTAAATTCGAACAGTTTCTTCCCCAATCACTTGGATTCGATTACTTAACTTAATAACAATCTAATTTACTGAAAACAACACCCAACTTACTCAATTTCATCTCAAGAATTCATCAAAAATCCAACACAACAAGATTTAGAAAACACCTATCAAGAACTCATCAAGAACTCTAATCTTTAAACATTAAGCATGAGATTTTGCTGAAAAATTACATGATTGGCGTGTAGATGAACTAGCCCAATACTATGGAATCTTACATATTTCTTAGGGATTAGACCCATGTGAAAATCCGCAACTAAACTCAAGAACATCGATGAACGTCTTCATCTTTTCTCCTCTTTTCTCCTCTTTTCTCTTCTTTTCTCTTGCTGCCTCTTTTTGAACTATCAACTTAAACGCTAGGTGTATATTTTGATTTTAAAACTGCACCTAAAACGATTAGAACCCTAAAATAATACTAAAATGAATTAAATTTGATTGGGTAAGGAAAGGACCAAACTATCCCTCATATTTTTGCTAACTTTCCTTAACTGGAAAGCCTAACTTCAAAAGGTCATATCTCACATATCAGAACTCGAAACTTAGCAAACTTGGCGTCTTTGGAAACATAATTAAAATATCTTTCCTATGGTATCTTATAAAACATCTAACTCATCCTGTGCTAGGAGTTATGATCGTTTAAAGTTGACCAAAACTCATACTTAATTGTACTCTCCAAATTTCAGATTTTTGTTAATTCCAATCTAATTCTTTTTGGAACTCTTGGTGCTAAGTCTAGTGTAATGACCTTAATACTTAAGAAATTTTAATTCCTTGGTACAATCTCACTCACTACGATAAACGGTTTGAGTTGTTCGAAAAATTTCTGAGTGTTACAAATATTTTATAAAAAAAATTAATAATTGAAAAAGTGTTGAGCAAAGTGAATTGTAAATTTTTCTTCCATTTATTCTTAGATTTTCAAAAATTACAACAACATAGTAAAATGAGAAGTTACCAAATTATCAACTTCATCAAACATATAGTTCTATCAGTGTTTTAAAAGACTCTGTTGGGACTCGCCTCGGGGCTCTAGCAAAACACCTTGAGACTCAAGTTTGGGGCTTAATTCTGCAAGACATGCGTCCTAAGTGTCCAACTGTACGCCCTGAGAACGCCCAACGCTCGGGGCTTGCCTTACAGATCTTACACAAATTATGTGTTACAAACTTAAGCTAACATTGTTGATCCTCATAATTCTTGAATAAATGAAGGATACCTAATAACTTTTTAATTTATAAAGATAAGAAGATCGAGAGTAACTCAAATAACAAGTTGGGTATCACATATTTACTATTTGGTAACATTGTGAAGGTGATGATATAGTACATGACATTTCTTTTAAAAATACATAGCAAAATTTTACTTTTCCACTTATCATTGGTATTCATGGTTTTATCATATGTCTCAAAATTCTCATATTTTATTTAGCTATTTGAAAGTAATTTTATTTTTATTCATGATGAAGTGATGTTTTATTATAATTGTAGTAAGTTTTATTGATTATTTTCTTTTAGAGAGGGGGGTAAACTATATAGTATGTTAAAAAT